TATTTCAGTAATGCATATGATTATCTTGGACCAGTGCAACTAAATGTTTACTTTACTTTGAATCAACACACTCCACCTACTGTATGTATTTCAGGATAGACCCCAGGCAGGGGGCACACCACACAGACACACAATAAGCAAAATAAAACAGAAATACAAACGTAAATCCTGATAAATCGTAAAATATGAAGCAGTAATTTAGAACAAGCATGTGAGAATACTTAGCTGGTCTGAGGGAGCAGCAAAGAAAGAGGGAGATCTTAGGAAATACAAGCCTTTTATAGTTACTTCCTTTGTTATGTGATTGGTTGCTTGTGTTACTATACAGTTTTTTTTCTCAATTTGATATATTTACATTCCTCTCTATCTTTGCTGCTGAGGGAATTAAAGAAAGAGTTATGCATAATAGGAGCCTCTGTATCTTTAATACAATCTAACAGTTTTATGACATTCACAGTTAAAATGTCATGCAGAACTTGAAAAATAACAACATTTCTTAATTTCTCAAATTTTTTTAGATTTTATTCATATTAAATTCTGTTTCATATTTGAATATTTGATGTGAAATAAAAGTCCTATTTCTCTTGAACAAAATGATTTATAATAAGTGTCATTGCACTTAATATGAAAAAGGTGAATTATGGTGTAACAGACTTATAGCACAAATTCCAGGTTTTGTTTTGATTAGAACTTGTAAAATTGCCTACGTCCTTAAGTGGTTACAGGGATACCCCAATCACCAGAGTGTTGTATTGGTTGTGATTCCGGAAGTGTCCTGGCTCGCCTCCATTGTAAATAGTTACATTGTTTCACTGCGGTTTGATTTCTAACCTGGCATTCACCATGTTCTGCTCCATGCATTCACAAATTCCCATGTAGAGCCAGAAGTCCATAAGCAGGAGATTGTGTTAGCTCTCCTGTGCTAAGCCCTACAGTGTAGGTATAGCTCATTGCCTGAACGCATCAACTGTACTTGATGTGCTTTGCGCTGTCCCACAGAAAAAAAACATACACAATAACGTTGAGCTCCCTGCATTTAGTCAAACATTGAAACAATAACAATTATTGCAGTTACAATATTTTACATAGCTATTCAACACATAATCAAGACAAACAATTCTAACAAAGCACATT